TGGGGCCTTTTACCTCACGCGGTCTGTCAGGTGAGATCTTCATCGTCTGTCCGCCGTCTGTAGCGTCAGTCGCACTGCGCCGGGGGAGGGGGTTTTGTAGCCCGCCCTCGTATCTTAAGGCTGCACCGCCGCAAATAGTGCTTGCGAGTTGTCGCACCGCAGTGCGCCTCGCGGACGGACCCTGGTCCGCCTACTTGTCCGATCTCTCTCTCTCTCTCTCTCTCTCTCTCTCTCTCTCTCTCTCTCTCTCTCTCTCTCTCTCTCTCTCTCTCTCTCTCTATCTCTCTCTCTCTCTCTCTCTCTCTCTCTCTCTCTCTCTCTCTCTCTCTCTCTCTCTCTCTCTCTCTCTCTCTCTCTCTCTCTCTCTTCTCTCTTTCTCTCGCCTGTCTCCTCTCTCAACTCCCCCTCTCTCTCTCTCTCTCTCTCTCGCTCTCTCTCTCTCTCTCTCTCTCTCTCTCTCTCTCTCTCTCTCTCTCTCTCTCTCTCTCTCTCTCTCTCTCTCTCTCTCTCTCTCTCTCTCTCTCTCTCCTCTCTCTCTCTCTCTCTGCTTCTCTCTCTCTCTCTCTCTCTCTCTCCCTCTCTCTCTCTCTCTCTCTCTCTGGCGACTAGGAGGCCCGGGTCGACTCCTCTTTGGGAAGCCAAAATGCTGCCCCTGGCAGCGTTTGGTGACTATGAAGCCCCTGGTGGACCCCCCCTGGGGCTCCCAAATGATGCCCCTGGCAGCGTTTTGTGACCATGAGGCTCTCAAGAGATACATGTTGGGGACGCCAAACGGCAATTCTAGCTGAGGCGTCCCACCAAAATCGGCGCGAACGGGCTCGTGAGATCAGCCAGGGTGGCTCCCCCTTGGGGCTCCCAAATGATGCCCCTGGCAGCGTTTTGTGACCATGAGGCTCTCAAGAGAGACATGTTGGGGAGGCCAAACGGCAATTCTAGCTGAGACGTCCCACCAAAATCGGCGCGAACGGGCTCGTGAGATCAGCCAGGGTGGCTCCCCCTTGGGGCTCCCAAATGATGCCCCTGGCAGCGTTTTGTGACCATGAGGCTCTCAAGAGATACATGTTGGGGAGGCCAAACGGCAATTCTAGCTGAGACGTCCCACCAAAATCGGCGCGAACGGGCTCGTGAGATCAGCCAGGGTGGCTCCCCCTTGGGGCTCCCAAATGATGCCCCTGGCAGCGTTTTGTGACCATGAGGCTCTCAAGAGAGACATGTTGGGGAGGCCAAACGGCAATTCTAGCTGAGACGTCCCACCAAAATCGGCGCGAACGGGCTCGTGAGATCAGCCAGGGTGGCTCCCCCTTGGGGCTCCCAAATGATGCCCCTGGCAGCGTTTTGTGACCATGAGGCTCTCAAGAGAGACATGTTGGGGAGGCCAAACGGCAATTCTAGCTGAGACGTCCCACCAAAATCGGCGCGAACGGGCTCGTGAGATCAGCCAGGGTGGCTCCCCCTTGGGGCTCCCAAATGATGCCCCTGGCAGCGTTTTGTGACCATGAGGCTCTCAAGAGAGACATGTTGGGGAGGCCAAACGGCAATTTTAGCTGAGACGTCCCACCAAAATCGGCGCGAACGGGCTCGTGAGATCAGCCAGGGTGGCTCCCCCTTGGGGCTCCCAAGTGATGCCCCTGGCAGCGTTTTGTGATCATGGGAGAGTGTGAGTGTGAGCGAATGTGACTGTGAGTGAGTTTGAGTGAGAGTGAGTCTCATCTTATCTTATCGAGTCCTATCTTATCGAGTCCTTGTCATATATCTTATCTTACCTTATCATATCTTGTGCCATCTTATATTATCTTGTAGTTTCTTATCTTGTCTTGTCTTATCTGGTGATTATCATTGGGAGGAGGGAAGCGCGAGCGGGAGGAAGGAGGAGCAGTGGGAGGCGTCAGAGTAATAACAAGAACCCCAATCCTTAGGATATGGGGAAATAATCAAAAAATAATCGGGGGACCATCGTTTGACAATTTTTGGGCTGTGTTGGGGCATTTTTGAAGTATTTTCTGTTTTTCGCCCAACATCGGCCTGTAGGGGGACACGCCCGATTTAAACTTCAGTGCCCCTGCGCCGCCGCCCGCGCGGGGGTCGGCCTTACGTGCCCCGGCGCCGCCGCCCGCGCGGGGGTTTGTTGCTGCTGCCTCTTCGCAGCAGCACCGTCCATAGAACGTTTGTCTCAGATTTGTGTTGTAGTGCACACGTGGCGCGGGCAAGCGCGCAGCAGGGGATGCTTACCATATGACCCGATCCCCCGTCACAGAGGTAGTGCTGTGGCGGCGCCGCCATGCACACTACGGTCGAGAGCATGAAAATACATTCGCTTCGATCCCCTCTCGCTCCAAACACGTGGGCCCGGCGGCCCCGCGCTCTGTTTGGTCTGAGGCGCTCCGCGCCCCGGCTTCCCGCAGTGCGCGCGTCGATTCCTCCGCTTCGATTCGGTTCGAGTTCGATGGCTTCCGCTTCCGCTTCGATCCGACCTGGGATTCCGATCCGGGCTCCGACTCCTCACGAGGCCTACCAGCATGCCGACGTCCGCCGATCCGACGTTTCCCGACTCGGCTGCCGATCCCCGCAGATCCGACGCATGCCGATCGGCGACCCGACTTACCGATTCGGGGTTGGGCTCTCCTGCTTCCCCCTTCATAGGGAAACAAAAAGTGGCATGAACATAAAAACTCGGAGGTCCGCGCGGGTTTCTCGGATCGGCGCTGGGACCCCCCTCCCTGGGCGCGCGGAGCGCGCCAGGGGCGGCGCCGGAGGCGCCGCCGGGGGGCCCCAGCGCCGATCCGAGAAATCCGCGCGGACCTCCGAGTTTTTGTGTTTATGCCACTTGTTGTTCCCCTATTTCAGTGGAGACCCCAGAGGGGTGGGAGAAGGGGCCGGTATGCTGCTGCTCGTCCTCGAGAGAGCCCTCGCCGCCACGGCGGGGTTCTCCCCGGGGTGCTGGTCGGAGCGCGCCCCGGGGGAGGTCCGCGGAGCAGAGTCAAGACGCTCCTCCTCCGCCTCCTCCTCCTCCTCCTCCTCCTCCTCCTCCTCCTCACGGTGATGCCGCGGTTGTTCCTCTAGCCCAAAACAGGGGGTTGTTCTTGATTGCAGCATCTTGGCCGCAGCGGCATCGGCACTTTGACGAGAACAAGCGTTGTTCTCCGCTGCCCTCTCCCGGCCCACTCCCTCGTTATCCTCCCTCCGATTCGCATTGCATTTGCCCGCGCCTTTGGCCCGCGCCTTTCACCCTTCACCTGCGCGTGCTCGTCCGCCGCGCCCTGGGTGCAGCGTGCAGCTGTCGCGCTCTCTTGCGCCTCTCTGGGGATTGTCCAGCAGAGAGGGGGCAGATACAGATCCAACTTGTAGCCCTCGCCGCCAGTTTCCCCCCCTGGGTGCTGCGGAGCGCGCAGTTGTTGACAGCTAGCTGCGCCCTCGGGATACCAAGGAGAAGGATGACACACAAGCAGGTCCAACTATGCACACCGCGCCCCTCCCCCCCCACCGGAGGTGTGCTACCAAGAGCGCAGTGATTGCAAACCCCCTACTTTCCAGAACCCCTCGGATACCAAAGGGGTTGTGACAGATGATGTTCTAGCAAGACCCTGTCTGCCCAGGTCCAGGGGCCTGGATGTCGTCACATTCCCGAGTCCTTGGGGAGTCCAGCGGGTCGCTGTCACATGCAGTCCCAACTACGCAGACATCGCCCTTTTGGGCCCCCCCCGGCGTACAGACGTTGCAACTCTGCTGCGACCTGTGGGTTCAGCGAGGCAGTCGCAGATGCAGACCCAACAAGACCTCGCCCCTCGGGCTGCCACCAAGCGCGCATATCGTCGCCATTATCTTGAGATCCCTGAGAGGAGGGTCGGCGAAGCGGTGGCAAAGTCAGACAGAAGGAAGTCTCGCTCCCGCGAGTGCTGCCACGCGTGCCGCTCCCGCCAGGTTCCAGTGTCCCTTCGGCGTCCATAGGAGTACAAATCCACAGGTCCAGGTATATTAATCTCGCCCTCCAGAGTGCTATTGAGCGTGCAACTGTCGCCAGTTTTCTGGGGCCCTGGGGAGGGCAGCGGAGCAGACCGTACCAGACTTGGCCCCCCAAGATGCTGCGAAGCGCGCAACGGCCGCCGCGTTGCTGAGCCCCCAGGGGTGCAGCAGAGACTTCGCTCCCAAGGGTTCGGCTAAATGTGCACATGCCGCCACTTGCCAGTCCGTTTGGGAGGGAACCAGCGGAGCGGTGACATACGCAGGTACAACCAGACCTTGCCTGCCTTGGAGCTGCCGAGCATACCTCTGTGGCAAGTTTCGTGTGCCCGTCGGGGCCAACGGGTTGGTGGCACGCGCAGGTCCAACCAGGCATGGCATCCAAGGGCACCAAGCGTGCAACAGTCGCTGGTTTCCTGAGCCCTTGGGCTCAGCGGTCCAACGGAAAGGGCGCGCAAGTCCAGCTTGTGCTGTGGGCCGGCTCCAGAGGAGCGGTCAGATAGGCAGATCCAACGAGGCCTCGCCTCTCTGGGAGCCGCCACGCGTGTTACTGTTTCCACCGTCCTGTGCCCTTGGGGGGTTCGGCGGAGCGAGAGCATGCTCAGATCCACTACACCTCGCCAGACTGCGCAGAATGGCAGGCGATTTCCTGAGCCATTCTCGGGTCCAGTGGCGTTGCCAAACGCGTTGTGGTCAAGTTCTTGCTCCCGCGGGGATCTGGCGAAATGGTGACGCGCGGATCCAATCAAACATTGCCTCCATGAGTGCTGCCAGTCGTGCGCATGCCGCAGTCTTTTTATTCCTCTGGTGTCTAGCGGAGTGGTGGAGGAGGAGGAGGAGGAGAAGGAGGAGGAGGAGGACGAGGAGGAGGAAGAGGAGGGGGAGGAGGAGGACGACGGAGGAGGGGAGGGGGAGGAGGAAGGAGGAGGGAGGAGGAGGGGGAGGGGAGGTGAAGAGGGGGAAGGGGAGGAGGAGGGAGGAGGAGGAGGAGGAGAAAGGAGGAGGAGGAGGAGGAGGAGGAGAAGGAGCCTAGTTGTTCGCAGTTTTTCCTCAGGGCTTCCCTGGTTTTCCCCGCCGCGCCGCGGGGGCCTCCGCGCGCCTGGAGGGGGGGGGGCGGAAAGCAGCAGATGTGCCCCGGCGTGCCCGCCGCCGCAGACGCGCTGGGGCCCACCGCCGCCCCGAGGCCCGACGCACGGCTCGAGGCAGGAGCTTCGACTTTCCTCCTCCGCCTCCTCCTCCTCCCTCCTCCCCCTCCCCCTCCCCCTCCTCCTCCTCCTCCTCCCTCCTCCTCCTCCTCCTCCTCCTCCTCCTCCTCCTCCTCCTCCTCCTCCTCCTCCTCCTCCTTCTCCTCCTCCTCCTCCTCCTCCTCCTCCTCCGCCTCCTGCCGATATCGAACCGAGGCAGGAGCTTTGGGGGGCTCAGGGGGCAAATCCGCCCCCTGCGTGTTTGATATTTTCACTAGAGGCTTTGCCTCCTCCTGGCCTTGACGTGAGGCCTCTCCTTCTGTCTCCCCCCCTTTGTCAATTCAGGCTTCGCGCGGCCCGCTTAGTCTCGACCGGAAGAGGTGCGCTCTCGACCCGCGAATCAAACAAAAGTTTGATATTTTCTCTTGAGCTGGCTCTCGGAGGGCGAAGGGGGGCAAGAGGATGCGGAAGTACGAGGTGTCGATGTGTATCTTTTTTCGATGGCGCATGCAGACGGCCGAAAACCGCATCGGGGGCACGAAGCCGAGGTCAGCACACATCTTCCCTTGCGCGTGCACCTCGGCCACGTGCTGCAATATGCCTTCGTGGCCACCGAGTGCGCCCCCCGAGCCCGGGGGGCCGCTTCGACACTTCTGATTCGAACCGAGTCGGTTTCCGGACAACCCGCGTCTCGAAGAAATCGGGTCGCGTTTACCACTCTCGTCTCGTCTCGTCTCGCTTCGTCAGTTCCTCTGGAGGCTTCTTCGCCTCGGGGTGCGTTCCAGCAGCTGCGCGCTGCAGAGGGCATGCATTCTGGGGCCAGCCCAGGTCGCCCCGAACGGCCGCCGGAGCCCCGAGTTTTAGCCCGGAGACCAGATACTCCAGATCTCGTAATAAAAGGGAGGGGGTCTGGACCCTCCAAGACAAGCCATTTCAGACCTCCCCCGTAGGAGAACCCTCCAGAACATCGTCCCCAGACCCCCCCAGGCCCTCCAAGATAGCCTGGAAGAGACCCCCCCCCGAAATGAGACCCCCCTCCCTTTATTACGAAATCTGGAGTACCCAGCGTCTCGACTCGGGATGGCTGTTGTTCATTGTCTTCGGCTTTCCGGGGTCCTTGCCGGGCCTCGACGCGGTCGGAAGTCGACTCGGGGAGGAGGAAGAGGAGGAGGAGGAGGAAGAGGAGGAGGAGAGGAGGAGGAGGAGGAGGAGGAGGGAGGAGGAGGAGGAGGAGGAGGAGGAGGAGGAGGTAGGCCCCGGGGGAAGTGGTCGAGGGGCCGGGGGCCCCCGCGCCTCGAAATACATCGAGACGCCGTATATGCCTTGGCGCTCGAGTCGATCCAGCTTTGGATCCGGGCTTCGCTTCGGATTCTGTGTACTCCAGATTTCGTAATAAAGGGAGGGGGGTCTCATTTCGGGGGGGTCTCTTCCAGGCTATCTTGGAGGGCCTGGGGGGGTCTGGGGACGATGTTCTGGAGGGTTCTCCCACGGGGGAGGTCTGAAATGGCTTGTCTTGGAGGGTCCAGACCCCCTCCCTTTTATTACGAAATCTGGTGTATGCCTCGGCTCGGGTCGGCGGACGTCGATTCCGATGCCTCCCAGTCTGCTGGCCGATTCGCGCGCGCCGCCGGCGTCCTGGCGTGTGGCCCACGGTCGTCCATCGGACGCTGCCGGGGAGTGTGTCTGCCACCAGCGGGGGCGCAACCGAGCCGGCCTGGGCGGGCCGTCGAAGGTTGAATTCTTCGACGTGGAAGCACCGAGGGACACGGTGACGCCACTGGACCCGACGGAATTCAACCTTGAACGATCGGGGCCGCGATCGATGCAAGGATTGAACGATCGACGCGGTGTCGGAAACCTTTGCGCGCGCCGACGCCGCGCGTAGTTGTTTACAAAAGGGTGCGTGGTATGACGTTGGCTCGCAGCCTTGCGGTCTGCGGCGTGGCCCGGCGCGCGGCCGACAGCTCTGCGTACTGCAGGCTCGCGCCTTTTTTGTCGATGAGCTTGCCGAGCAGGCATCGGATGCCGCCCACACGCAGTTTTGCGGTCTCTGGCGCGGCTTGGCGCGGCGGCCAACAATTTTGAATTGAATTGATTGACGGGCCTGCCGGCGTCGCACGACTTCGTTTCGTAAAGATGTGAAACCTGTCCTAGAACTGCATTCTCGATCCGAAACCTCGGACAACAAGTTCGACAGCGCGATCTGAGATGCATGAGCCGCGCGTCATGCCTACCTGCTTCACCGACGATTGTCCAGTTTGCAGCAATACCTTTGAATATTTCGAGCGAGATGCGGAGGAAAAACAAAAACTGCTTGCCGATTCGATGCTTTTCGATGTCCGATCCAAAATGTCCGATTCAATGTTCGGGTCATCTTGCGGGGGCCGGGCCACGGCCCTAGACCCTCGACGTCATGATTTTTCACAACGTGGACCCACAGAAGTCTCGATCTGTTCCCCGGGACCAGCATTTCATCCTGAGTCGTTTTTGACGGCCCCAGGGCCTGGCGAGGGCCCCCAGAGGCCGAAAACGGCCAGAAAATTCCCGTCGTTCTTGTTTCACGACGCACCTTTCCGGCGGCCGTTCGGGGGCGATCCGAGCAACCTTGGAACGCCCTCGGAGAGAGCTGCTGGAGAGCATCCCGGGGCAAGGAAACCTGCAAGAACCGACGAAACGACGACCACGGCGGGGACGAGAACGACGACGACGAGACGACGACGATGACGACGACGACGACGACGACGACGTCGGCGGTGGCGGCGGCGGCGGCGGCGACGACGACGTCATCAACGATATCGCCGATATCGACGACGACGACGACGACGACGACGACGACGACGACGACGACGACGACGGACGACGACGACGGCGGCGCAGCGAGACGACGCGAGCGCGTCACTCTGCGAGGGCATGGCCGCGGCGACAGCCGGGGCCGGTGGGGCCCTGCCCTGCGCGGTCCCCGCGCCTCTCGACGAGGACTACTTCGCACTCGGCGCGGGCGGCGCCGCGCCGGCCGCGGCGTCGGGCGCCTCCCCGCGGGTGGCCGCGCTGCCCCGCGCCGACGCTCACGAGCCCGAGTCGGCCGCGGAGGGGGCCGCGGGCTGCGCCTCGGAGGAGAGAGGAGGGAGAGGAGGAGGAGGAGGAGGAGGAGGGCGAGGAGGGGAGGAGGAGGAGGAGGAGGAGGAGGAGAGAGGAGGAGGAGGAGGAGGAGGAGGAGGAGGAGGAGGAGGAGGAGGAGGGGGAGGGGGAGGAGGAGGAGGAGGAGGAGGAGGAGGAGGAGGAGGAGGAGGAGGAGTTTTTCCTCCTGGAGTCCTCAGGAGGCCGAACCATGATTAAAGGTTAACTTAGCCGCGCTCTGCGGCGGCTCGCTCCCCTCGCTTGGATGCGTTCAGCGAGGGCCAGCATGCACAGGGTCTGTATCATACCCCCGTGACTGAACGACGCGCACGCCTCCTCAGGAGGGGGCAGCGTGGAGGCAGGAGGACCAGTGTAAACCCAAGGCCCATCAACGATGTTGCAATAAACCCTCCCTCCAAGTTCCCTTGTCAATGGACCCCACAAGGGTTCATCCTCATTGAGGGAAGGGCCCCGTTGGAAAACATCCGTCTGAAAGTCCTGAACTGCGCAGAACGCCATTCTTGTGACTTCAACACCGCGAATCACTGTTACTGATGCGTCTTAACCGTCCTGAGTCGCTCCAGCACATTATTCCTGGGACTTCAACGCCGCGAACCATCGTAATTGTTGCGCCCTGACGGTCCGACATCGTGCCAAAACATTATTTCTGCAACGTTAACCATGAGAACCTCGGGGCCTGCTGTGAACTCCTAAGAAGAATGTGCGCAGCGGTGAGGCGAAAGCCGCATTTTGCAAAAAGAGGCCGCCTTCCATCCGCGAAATTCTTGTAGTATTTCGAAACGAATGTGCGCGGCGCTAAAGCGAGAGCCACATTTTGAAACAGGCCCGCCCTCCATCCGCGAAGCTGTAGATATTTTGCAAAAGCGATCATGCTCGGCGCTGAGGGCGAGGGCCACGTTTTGAAAGCGGCCCGCCCCCCATGTGTGAATTTGTTCTCTGGCTATTCTGAACGCGAACGCACACCGCGCGAAGGGCGAGAGCCACGTTTTGAAAGCGGCCCGCCCTCCTTCCGTGAAGCTGCTGAAACTTCTCAGCTTCAGGACTATGAGCGGCGAGGAAGTCTCACGCGAGACGGCCAGCCTGCCTTTTCGACCGGCCTCGGGGTGCGACAGAGAGAAGTTGTTTGTAAGGAACAGGAATGGAAGAGGAGATATGGGGGGAGGACGAGAAGGAGGAGGAGGAGGAGGAGGAGGAGGAGCATCGCTGGGAGACAATCGTTTGAAGACCGTGAAGCGTGCCCAAACACCAGTCGTGGGACTCCAAAGTTACACATCAAAATGACTGTTGCGTCTTGACGATCCTGAATTGTGCCAGAGCATCCCCCCTGGGACTTGCACACCGCGAATCAACGAAACCGCTGCGCCCTCATAATCCGAGCCTTCTGAGCAGATCCGCCCCCAGGAGGAGGAGGAGGAGGAGGAGGAGGAGGAGGAGGACCAGTGCAAACCCAAGACTCATCAACGATGATGGAATACACCCTCCCTCCAAACTCCCTCTTCATGGGCCACTACACGGGTTCACTGCCATTGAAGGAAGCGCTCCGTTGGGGACAGCCGTATGAAAATCATGAAGCGTGCCAAAACACCATTCTCAGGACTTGAACACCACGGGTCAACGCTGACACTTGCGTCTTGACGATCCTGAATCGTGCCAGGACACCGTTCGTGGGACTTCAACACCGCGAATCAACGTAACTGCCGCGCCCTGACAATCCTGACTCGGTCCACAACACCATTTCTAGTTCGGTAACCACGAGAATCAGTGAAACGATTGCACATGTTTAAAACGAGTGTACCCGGTGCTCAGGCGAGAGCCACAGTTTGAAAAGGAACCGCCCTCAATTCGTGAAGCTGTTGCACAGGTTTAGAAACGAACACGCGCAGCGTCAAGGCCAGAAACTTAGGTTGAAAAGCAGCCGCCCTCAATCCGTGAAGTTCTTGCAATGTTTATAACAACTGCGCGCGGCGCGAAGGCGAGAGACACATGTTGTAGAGGAATCCCCCTCAATCCGTGAAGCCCTCGCACAGCTTTAAAAGGAATGCGCGCGGTGCTGAGGCGAGAGTCACATTTTGAAAAGCATCCGCCCTCCATCTGTGAAAATGCTGCCATTTTTTGACAACCACCAGCACTCAACACGCGAAGCTTGAAAATGTCTAAAACGAATTTGCGCGGCGCTACGGCGAGAGCCAAATTTTTTAAAGCAGCCTCCCCTGAATACGTGAAACTTTTCAAACACTTGAAACGAATGTGCCGGGCGCTTACGCGAGAGCCACATGGTGAAAACGACCTGTCCTCAACTCGCGGAGCTCGGGCAAGTTTTTGAAACGAATGCGTGCGGCGCTAAGGTGAGAGCCACATGTTGGAAGCGGCCCGCATTCAATGTGTGATATGATTGCCAGCTTTTAAGTTGGAGGCTCATAGATGGTACGGAAGTCTCCGGCGAAACGCCCGTCCCGCCCTTCCGGCTGGCCTCGGGGTGCTGCGAAAGGGAGAAGTTGTTCATAAGGACAAGAAGTGGAGGAGGACGAGGAGGAGGAGGAGGAGGAGGGGGAAGGGAGGGGGAGGAGAAAGGGGGGGCCCAGTGAAAACCCAAGATTCATAAACGATGTTGGAATACACCCTCCCTCCAAGCTCCCTCATCATAGGCCCCTACAAGGGTTGTTCACTACCACTGAGGGAAACGCCCCGTTGGGGGGGGGGCAACTGTGCAAAAACCTTGAAGCATGTCAGAGAAACGTTCTCAGGACTTCTGCGACACGAGTTAACCTGATTGGCATCCTCGTCTTAACGATCCTGAATCGTGCCAGAATGCGAATTGTTTGTGGGACTTCAACACCGCGAATCAACGTAGCTGCTGCGCTCGGACATTCCTGAATCGTTCCAAAACACAGTCATGGTACGTTAGCAATAAGAATCAGCGAACATCTTGCACATCTTTACAAGGAATGCACGCGGCGCGCTGGCGGGAGCTACATTTTGAAAACGGCCTGTCTTCAATTCGTGAAACACATGCAATAGTTTTCAACGAATGTGCGCGGCGCTGAGGCGAGACCCACATGTCGAAACGGAACCGCCCCTAATCCGCGAAGTCCTTGCACACGACTGCAACGACTGTGCGTGGCGCTACGGCGAGAGCCACATGCTGAAAACGACCTGTCCTCCATCCGTGAAGCTCCTGCCATCTCTTAATACGACTGTTCGCGGCGCTACGGCGAGAGCCATACTCTTGAAGGGTCGGGAGCCGCCGCCGCGCAGGCGCCTGCGCCGCAGCCGCCAGGGGCCGCCGCGCAGGAGGCCGTCCCTGCCGGCGAGGCGGCGCGGACCTACGGCGGCAGGTTCACGTGGGTCGGCGCGGAGTATCGGCTCCGGGTCGCCGCAGGGCTCTCGCCGCTGCAGTGGCTCAACATTCGGAGGCCCAGGGGCTGGCACCATTCGGCAGCGCGGGGGCGAAGCCGCCCGGCGCGAACGACCGAGATGCCAGCCCAGACGTGCGACGCCCCGCTTTCTTAACTATACTCAGGAGGGGAAAGAACACACAGACACAATCAATCGTCGACCCCCAGGAACATGTGGGAAAATACAGGAATTGGGCGGGAAGACAAAAACCCAGAAAATATTTGAAAATATGGGGAATCCTTTTGTTTGTGTGTGTTTATTTGGGTGTCCTTGGGCCCCTTGATATACGCGGCCCCCGGATGTCCCGACCCGTTCCCCAGGGCCGGTTTTCCAGCCCGAGCCGTTCTCCGACGGTCCCGGGGCTTGGCGACGGCCCCCAGAGGCTGGAAATTGGGCAAGGTGCCGCCCAGATTTGTTCGGAAGCCTGCACGCCTGGGTATAAGGGGAGGGGGGAAGGCTTCTTAGAAGCACCCCTGCTTCTTAGAAGGCGCGGGCCTTGTCTGTCGATGTAGGGCTGGCGCCTTCTCAGCAGCGGCTCTCTCTTCTATAGACTCCTCCCCTTTGCCTGCCCCCGTGAGCGCGCCGCCAGCACCAACACCCACCCCGACCTATGGACCTACGGTAAGATCACTGCTCAATATCCAGGCGAATTTCCTCGATGTCGGCCTCCGAGGCCCGCTCTCGAGCCCCAGGGGCATCGAAAACGGCTCCGAGGCGCGGGGGGGGGTCGGGACTCCTCATGGGGCCGCGCAGTGACAAAAGACGATCGGAGGATGTCAGGGCAGATCGGCGGTGCGCCTCCGCCGAAGGAAGACTATCATTAAGTCGGGCCTGTCCCCCCTACAGGGGGATTTTCGACGAAAACTAAAAAAAAAATCCAAAATAATCAAAAAATAGTCCAAAAGAAGTCTGGGGACTTGTTTTGAATGTTTTTTACGTTTGGGGGCATTTTGGGTTTTTTTGTGTTTTTCGTCGAAAATCCCCCTGTAGGGGGGACGCGCCCGACATAAGACTAGCATGATCTCGGTGATGGTGGCAATATCCAGGCCTCAGGCGGCCGACAGATTACGACCGACACCGAAATCGAGGATATCCTCCCAGTGGAGGCAACCCCTTGCCTTGGTGCTGGTGCCCGTTCCCGAGCCTCCAGAACATCGCGACCAACTCGATCCTCAGCCTGGACAGCCTCTGCTTCTCGGAGGACGGCGGCTTCCACCGGCCGGGCGCGGAGGAGCCCGCCTTCCCGGTCGGGGGCGTGGACCTGCGCTGGCGCTACGACCCCGCCAGCGCCCGCATCGTCATAGACTTCTTTAAGCGCCGGCTGCGCGCAAGAGTCCGGAGGGTTCCAAAGAAGGCTTTTGGGGAGGGTGTTTTCCAGAGAGCCCCCCAGGGGCCTCGGAACCTCGGCAAAATAGGGGGTGCGAAGCCCCTGGGGGGGACCCCTCCCGGAAAACCCCCTCCCCCAAAAACCCCAGTTGGAACCTTCTGGAGAGTGGCCCTTCGCCAGAGTGGCCGCTGCTGCGCGGCTTTCGCGGGGGGGGGCGCTGCGGGGCCGAGCCCCAGCACGCAGGCCCTTGGTATCGCTCGGACGTGCGCACTTTTTCTCGGCGGGGATTATTAAGGGGCATCCTGGATCATCCTGTGAAAAAGCCACGCACGAAACCGAAAAAAACACGGAATGCGCGTCCGAGCGATGGCCAGGGCCGCTATAAATCATCGCACCGCACGCAGCGGCCAGGGAGCCGCGCAGCAAAGATCACCCTTGCACAGGTTCACTCCTATCAAGCAGTGGCGAAGCGTCCTGGCTCGCCTACAGGCCCACCACGCAATGTTCTAAGAATCTGTTGTGGTTTCCACGAAATGTTCTTAGAACAGTTCTGGCTGAGACTGTCTTGTTTTAAAGCATCGGGCGAATGTTCTAAGAACAGTGTTTTTGTTCTTAGAACAGTTGGGGGTTCTAAGAACATTTCGTGGTAGGCCTATAGGAATGCTGGGAAGGTCGCTCCCTGCTCCTACCCTCAGATCTGAGGTTGCAGAAGAATCCAGCACTGCAGAAAAATCACCACCAGAGCCCGACCCCGCCTTCCTGCATCCTCCGAGCCGGCTCCATCTATGGAGGGCCCCGCGGCCAGAAGAAGCGGGCCCCAGCGCCCGTGGCCCGTGGTGAAAGACAGGGCTCTGCAACGCCAGGAGCCCAGGGTACGCGCAGCCGAGAGCGCGGGGAGCTGCTGCCCTGGCGCTGGGACGAGCTGCGGCTGTCCCCCGACCTGCGCTTCCCAAGCACCGTGCCGGACCTTTACGGCACAGGCCATCGGCAACGCGCAGAAGGGGGTAGGGGGAGGGGGGAAGGCTTCTTAGAAGCACCCCTGCTTCTTAGAAGGCGCGGGCCTTCTATACGGACGTAAGGCCGAGGGCTTCTAAGAAGCAGGGTGCTTCTAAGAAGCCTTTCCCCCTCCCCCTACCCCCTCCTGCGCGCCGCCAAGGCCACGTGGGCAAGCGCACCTTCCGCTTCGCCATGCTGAGCGCGGCGGCCGAGGACACCGGACCCCCAGGCTTCAGGCCTCGGGCCCCCCGACGATCGCGGCTGTTTCGAGACCCCCCCCCTCCTCCTCCTCCTCCTCCTCCTCCTCCTCCTCCTCCTCCTCCTCCTCCTCTTCTTCCTCCTCCCTCCTCTTCCTCCTCCCTCCTCTCCTCCTCCCCTCCTCCTCCTCCTCTCCTCCTTCTCCTCCTCCTCCTCCTCCTCTCCTCCTCCTCCTCCTCCTCCTCCTCCTCCTCCTCCTCCTCCTCCTCCTCCTCCTCCTCCTCCTCCTCCTCCCCCCAGCATCTCGAGGATCGAGGCACAGGTTTGTCTTCGTGTTCGGCCCCTCGGCGCCCGTAATTATACTGGACCGGGGACCGCCAAAGAAAGTGCCCAGGATGCAAATCTGGCCCCGGGGAAGTGGTCGAGAGGTCGGCGGGGGCCCGCGTCTCGGAAAAGTCGAGACGCCGCATGTCTGAGTCCTGGGGACCGGCTTTTCACCCTGCGTCGTGTTTGACGGTCCCGGGACACGCGCACGCGCCGTACACAACATCAAAAAAGGAAAAGACGCGACGTCCTGATGTTTTCGTGACGTGGACCCAGGGAGTTGGAACCCGCTTCTCCGGGGACCGGCTTTTCATCCTGAGTCGTTCTTCGACGGGTCTGGGGCCAGGCAAGGACCCCTGGGGGCCGACAACTCGGGGGGACCGAAATGCGTACATAAATATGATGGGCAAGGACAAAGTCCAACAGCAGTTCTCAACTATTCATTATGAGCCGGATTCGCTGTCGGGGTCACCGGGGGCGCTGTCCCAGGCCGCCCGCCCAACAGCGACCGCTTTCGGTAGTGGACACCATTTGATGTTGGACATCGTACCCATTTTTGTCCGCACCCATATCGCGCGTGCAAGCAAACGGCCAAGGGCCTTCTGCCGTGATTGTTTCACGACGCGAGGGGGGGTCTGGGGCGGCACGAGGAGCCCCCGAGCGCCGCCGCGGGGAAGGGCTGAGGGCCGGCCGCCGCGCGCCCCCCTTGTGCGCCTCGAGGCCCAAAGTCTGGGCCTCGAGGCTGTCTGGGCCCCTGTGCGCCTCGAGGCCCCCAGACGTTGGCTGTCTTCTCGAACACTGCCTCCCCTGACCTTCCAGGGAGCTATTTTTTAGCACGGGAGGCCTAAAAACCTAAACAACGAAACGAAACAGCCTAAAACCAAGACACGTAATAGCTCCGGGATAGGTTCTTAAGTCGCGTGCTATCTTTTAGCGCTCCTGGAAGGTCAGGTTCCTGGGGCCCTCGCCGGGCCCTGGGGCCATCCAGACACACTTCGGGATGGCAAGCCGCGGCCCCGGGGAGGGCGGCTGCCGGTGGCCCCGGGCGGAAAAGAGCTCAGGGCCTCGGATGATGCCTGCGTTCGAGGCGTGGCCACGAGGGCGTGGGTCCAGGGCACGAGCCTCGTCGCCGAGAGCCCGCGGGCCCTGTGGCTGCGCGAGGAACTCAAGTTGTGGCGAAGCGTCCTGGCTCGCCTATAGCCCTGCCAAACAATGTTCTAAGAACCTTTTGTGGTTTCCACGAAAAGTTCTTAGAACAGTTCTGGCAGAGTCTGTCTTGTTTTAACACATCGGGTTTATGTTCTAAGAGCATTGCTTTTGTTCTTAGAATATGTTTGGGTTCCAGGAAAATTTCGTAGTATGACTATAGGAATGCCGGGACGGTCGGTCCCTGTTCAAGAAACGAAGAGCACTCCAGGGTGGAGAGCCGGAACACGAAGAAGAGGAGAATGCGCGAGCTCGACACAACCCTGCGGCACACGCAAAACTCAGGAGGGGGAGAAAACACAGACACATTTAATCGTCGATTCCCCAGAAAATATGGGAAAATATGGGAAGTGGGGGGGAAGACAAAAATCCCAAAAATACAAAAAAATGGGGAATTGTTTTATTTGTGTGTACTTATTTGTGTGTCCCGGGGCCCCTTCAAAAACGGCCCGCCGCCCTGTCGCGTGGCCTCTTGGTCCCTGCTGGCAAGCCGAGCGGGGCCGTACGAAAGCCCCAGCGCCCCAGCGTGGGGGCCAGCCGGGCCAGCAAGGCCAGACCAGGAGGGGGGGAAAGGGAGAAGGAGGAGCGAGGAGGGGAGAGGAGCGAGGAGAAGGAGGAGCGAGGTGAAGGAGGAGGGGGAGAAGGAGGAGGAGCGAGGAGCCACGAGAGGAGAGGAGGAGGGCACCCTCCAACGCTGGGAATCGAGACTTGCGGGGGCCGCGTATCCCAGACGTCCGGCGTCTCGCTTTTCTCGAGACACGGGCCCCCGACCTTCGAGCAGGACATCGGCTAATTACGGAACGTATGCACCCCAGCAGTATTCTTTTTCGTCGAATATAGAACAACATATACGTATATGGCCCGTAGACTTACCAGCATTCTACGCATGTTCCCGTAGACTCGACGAAAAAAACAAGCTTGGGTAAATCCATTATGCAGTGGCCTGGCGTTTCGTTCTTGTCTGTTTCTGGACGGCCCCGAGACCCTGCAAGGGCCCCGAGAGGCTGAGACTTATAAAAGAACCTCGGAGGCCTAGAGGTTGGCACCAACACCAATATCGGCGGCGTGCTTCCACCGAGGGAAGATGATCCCGATCCAGGTGGTGGTGGTAATATTTCGGGCCTTCTAGGTGGCCGAAATATTACCACCAACACCGAAATCCAGGATCATCTTCCTCCCGTGGAGGCAACCCCTGATGTTGGTGTTGGTGCCAATTTCCAAGCTTCCAAGAACCTCCTCCTCCTCCTCCTCCTCCTCGATTTTCCGAAACGCTGCATGTCTGGCTTTCGGGCCACAGCTCGGGCCTCCCGCGTACGTTCGGGACGATCTGGGCAGCGCCAGAACGCGTTCGGCGAGGCGCGGCTGCTGGAACGCACCCCTCCTCCTCCTCCTCCTCCTCCTCCTCCTCCTCCTCCTCCTCCTCCTCCAGGAACCGACGAAACGTCCGAAAGCGAAACGAGCATGAGTTCAACTGAAACGAAAGAGTCAGGACATCGCATGTCTGGGGGCCGTGACACCCCCCAGTATGATTTCGTGAACCCGACGTCCCGACCCATTCTCCAGGGCGAGCTCGCGCCCCAGATCCGTCTTTGATGGTCCCAGGGTCGACAAGAGGCCCTGGAGGCCGAAATCGAAGAAGTCCGCCCGGATCCCGGATTGGAAGAAACACCTCGTCGGAAGGTTGGGTCCTCTCCCCTCGCTATCCTCGCCTCCCCCCTCAGCCCACCTGGGCGGGTCTCTCTGCGACGGGCTCCAGAAGTCCCGACCCCTGCTGGGATGACCGTGGGGGGTTCTAAGTGGATAGGGGGGTTACAAGTGAATACCGAGGTGGGTTGTATCTGGCCCAACCTGGCTTATAGGTGGGTTACAAGTGCCTTAAGTAGCTTAAGGGGGTTAACGATCCGGGCTAAGTGGGCTCCGCCCACTTAGCCGAGTTATCTAGCCCCCCTGAGCCACTCGGGGAATGTGTAACCCGCATATTAAGCCAGGTTGGGCCAGATACAACCCACCTTGGCATCCACTTGTAACCCCCCCTATCCACTTAGAAACCCCCACGGCCATCCCAGTAGGGGTCGGGACTTCTGGAGCCCGGCGCAGAGAGACCCGCCCAGGTGGGCTGAGGGGGAAGGCGAGGACAGCGCGGGGAGAAGGCCCAACTCTCCGACGAGGTGCTTCTTCCGATCCGGGCGGACTTCTTGGCCGAGCTTTGAGCGCTGGTGCCCCTGGCCGAGCTCCGAGCGCTGCCTGCAGGGGGCCCCGGCGCCGCAGGGCCCCGCCCGCCCGGCACTCTGCATTCTGCAGAGGCCCGCGCGCGGGGGGGCGGCCGGCGCCCGCAGATCGGAGCCCTGCCGAGAAGGCCGCGCGCGCGCACGGCGGCTCCCGTCGGCCACGCTTCTGTCGGGCGTGTCCCCCCTCCAGGGAGATTTCTTCTACGGAAAATAAGAAAAATACCCCAAAATACCCCCAAAAGGGTCAACAAATGCTCAAAAAATAGTCCCTTCATTATTGTTGGGCTATTTTTTGGTGGGGGTATGTTTGATTTTTCGTCGAAGATCCCCCTGTAGGGAGACACGCCCAACTTACGGCCACGCGCGGAGGGGGGCACCCGGGCTTCAGTCGGGCCTGCCCCTCCACAGGAGGAAGATTCCAAGAGAGTCCAGAACAGAGTCCGGGGACGATGCCTTGAGAGCAGCGTTCGCCCATGTTGGGGGCATTCATTTTTAAAGATTTCGTCGCCCTGCATATCCCCCTTGCGGGGGGACAGGCCCGACCTATAAGCCCAGACATGCGAGGCCTCTCTGCGCCCCTTCGCGAGCCGGCCCGGCGAGCCGTGAGGGCGCCGGGACCCGAAGGGACCCGAGGCCGGGCGGAGGCGCCCGGGCCCGAGGCCGGCGAGGCCAGACCAGCGGGTTAAGTCGGGCCCGTCCCCCACACAGGGGGATTTTCGACGAAAAATAAAGAATACCCAAAAATACACAGAAAAATGCTGAACAATACACCAAAAATTATAGTCCCTAGACTATTTCTGGATGATTCTAAAATTATTTGTGGGGTATGTTTTGTTTCTCGTCGAAAATCCCCCTGTAGGGGGACAGGCCCGACGTAAGACCACCGACGTATTTCTGCAGCGCACAATGCCGGATGTCCCGGCCCTTTCCCCCAGGGCCGGCGTTCCAGTCCGAGCCGCTTTTCGACGGTCCCGGGGCCGGGCGACGGCCCCCAGGGGCTGGAGGTTGGGCCCCCAGGGGCTGGAGGTCGGGTACAGAGGGGGAGGGGGGAAGGCTTCTTAGGAGCACCCCTGCCTCTTTCGGCTACACGTAGGAGTGACCTTTCGCCGGAGTGACCTCTGGTGAGGGCCCAGTGGGGCCCCCCCGATCGCCGAAAGCGATGCGGCAGTAGCGCCTTGCGCACCTGCGTTTGGCCCCCCGGCGGCCCCCCAAAAACCGCGCACCAAAGGTCACTCTTACTTAGGGTCACTCTTGCGTGCAGCCGATTCTTAGAAGGCGCGGGCCCTGCGCCGTCAAACTACTGGGATCGCCGCGGGGGTTGCTCCGTGGATAGGGGGCGATTTACCCTGAGATCCGGAGGGGGCTCAATTCTTTCGAGCCGGGTGAGGTCCAGGGTTCCGGTCGTGATTTCGCACGATGTTACCATGTGCTCGCATCATCCGAATTGAGGGCACGCTGATGCCAGGGTGGTTCTCTCTGGCCCAACTTGGTTTAGAAGTGCTTTACCGATACCCCATGTGGCTCAGGGAGGTTTGGCAACTCCGCTAATTTGGCGGAGTCCACTTCCCCCGTATTGCGAACCCCCTCACTCATACCGAGGTGGGGCCAATCGAAGCCACCTTGGTACCCACTTGCAACCCACCTATCCCCTTAGCAACCCCAGCGGTCATCCCACCCCAGCGGTCATCCCAGCAGGCATGCTGGCGTCGTGGAAAAAAAGGGCGACGGGAGTACGTTAGCCACTTCGGGCGGTTTTCGTTCGTTTTCGGGCGTGCCGTCAGCTCCTTGAGGTTGCCGTGCCTCGGGGTGCACTCTGGCAGCCGAACCTCGCTGGGGGCTCTCCTGGGGCTGCCCAGAGCGTCCCGAGAGGCCGCCGGAGGCCCGAGCCATAGGGCCCGAAGACCAGCGTGCTCGCGCCGTGGAAAAAAGCGGCGACGGCGGCGGCGCTTGGCCGCTTTCGGACCCTCCCCGACGTCGGATCCGCCGTACTTTGGTTGACTTTCCGACTTGGAATTGTGTCGGAAATGCACCCCAAACAGTGCGAAACAGTATGGCGGAAATGCCCACCTCAGGGAGAGTTAGCGCGGATACTTCCGCAGAGGCGTGGCGAAAACAGCGACGGCAAAGTGGGGCGGAAATCATCAAAGGAGCCCGGCAAGCAGGGCGGAAAGCTCCGCCCTACTTGCGAAACCAACCAAAGTACGGCGGATCCGAAGTCGGGGCTGGGAGCCCTCGCCGGGCCCTGGGGCTGTCAAGGCACGACGAAAGCGGCTCGCGATGAAAGACTGGCCCCGGGGGAGGTGTCGGTACTTCGGGGGCCCCGTATTGAACCTCCTCCTCCTCCTCCTCCTCCTCCTCCCCCTCCTCCTCGTCCTCTCCCAGGGGCGACGCTGGAGGAGGAGGAGGGGGAGGATCACTGACATATTGTGTAGCCGAGCTCAGGTGTCCCGCCCCGTATTGAAGAGAAAGCGCGGGGTCCACAGAGGTCCCGACCCTTTCCCCGGGACTGGAGCTGCATCCTGAGCCGTTTCTTGAGAGCCTTGGCCCGGTAAGGGCCCCCAGAGAGGCCTAAAGAGCCAAGAACATCCCTCCCCCATTGTTTCACGACGCGGGCATGCTGTGATTTTCCCTGCTATGATTTGTTTCGATCCGCGGCCTCAGAAGTCCCGACCCCCTCCCCGAGTTCTAATGGCCCTGGAGGCCAAGAACGAGCCTCTTAGGCAAACATCTACGGACATCGCTCATGTGGACAAACAAACAAACAAACAAACAAACAAACAACAACAATGTTAAGACCGTTCGCCCTTATATGCTCGAGTGCCCAATAACGCGTATTTCCCAAACCCTCGATACCCGCCCTCTTCGTATTCGATCGAACCCCTTTTGGGGGGTATACTTTTCTTCCCTGCAGGCCGGGCCCCGGCAAGCGGCGGGGCGGCCGCGGACCGTCGGCTTGGCCAGCGGCAGCGCTGATCGGCGGGGCGGCCGCGGACCGTCGACCCGACCCCAAGAGGGACGGACAGGGGACTGACCACGACGACGACGACGACGTCGACGACGACGACGACGGCGACGACGAGCGAAAGCGAGAGCGAGAGAGAACGACAGCAGATCCACGAAGGGCACGAAGTAGGCCACGAAGGGCGACAGCGGGGACACGAAGGGAATGCGTATGCGACCACGAAGAGCGCGAACGAGCGGGGGCCACGAAGGGCAGGTAATGCGGGGCCACAGGATGCAACGATGGGGCCACTGAGGGTAGCAACTGGGCCACGTAGGACAGTGATGGGGGCCACAAATTGCGACAGCGGGGCCACGCAGGGCATGCACATGGGGCCACAACGGGCGCGACTCCTGGGTGCCTGGGTGTCGGCAACCCGGCGCTTGAGCAAATGGCAGGAAATTGCTGACGCTTCGCGAATCCCCACCAGCCCATCCAGAAACGATGCCCAGAGGAATTGCCTCGATGAGGCAAGTGGGCAGCACACAGAGGAAGCCATGATGAGACATCTTGGGATATCTTGAGCCATCTTGGAGGTCATTTTGGGCTGTCCCAGGCGCTTTTGGAGTCATCTTAATCAGTGCCCCCCCCAGAGGCCAACATGTGGCTAAAACCTTCGTGAAGTCAATGATTTGGCATTCTCGCCGAGGCCTCTTGGAGCATATTGGGTGCCTCTGGGGGGTCTCTTGGCACTCTTGGGGGTCTCTTGGGGGCCTCCAGCGGGCCTCCTGGGGGCCTCTTGGGGCCATCTTGGGGCCATCTTGGGACCTCTTGGGGCCTCCTGGGCGCTTTTTGGGGCCATTTTGGAGGAGATCGATCACAGGAGGGGAGGTTACGGATTACAGTCGCCCCCCCAGGAGGCCAACATAGTGCCAAAACCATTGTAAAATCAATGATTTTGGTTTTCTCGCCGAGGCCGTTTTGGACGCCCTGACACCTCGCGAAACCCCTTGTCCAAGTCGGCGGGGAGGGGGTACGGGGAGGGGTAAGCCCCTCCCGGAAGGGGAAGACGGAGGGGTGGAAAAGGAAATTCTTGAAACCACCGACGCCCAGAGGGCTGGTGAGATTCCAACGCAAGGTCAGCAAATTGCAAGCAACTCTCCAGCGAGAGCGCGACTCCAGAGCGCCGGGAGAGTGATTCCGAATTAAATTGTAAGGAAGTCCCAAGCGAGAGCGCGATTCCTGAATAAAATGCGAGGAAGTCTCGGGCGGGAGCGGGGGTCCTGGCTGAATTGTGCGGAACTCTCAGGCGGAAGCCGGTATTGTTGTAACCCGGAGGCCAGGGGCCCAGTTTGAGCATCAAGATTTTCCTTGTCAGAAAACCGGGTGCGAGCGTCGAGGGGCACACTTTGATCGGGAAAAAACCGTATGCACCGGTGGGGGGACCAACAATAATAATTATTCTTCTGACATGAAAGTTCAACAACAACAACAACAACAACAATCACTTTACCCGAACGCTCAGTGTTCTCACCAGTGCCAGGGTTTTCATGCGACGCCAGCCAATACCCCCACTTTGTGGGGGGGCAGTGCAAGCTCTACCAAATATCCACACGACTCTTCGCCACCACCCACACCCAGCTTCCCGCCCTATGACGTTCGGACACTTCACTTCGTGGCCTGCGGACGACCGTGGCTACTACACTGGCGTGGAGTACACACCCACAGAAGTTGTTAAGCCTACGTTCGTACACCCACAGAAGTTGTTAAGCCTTGAGATTTCGGCGTGCGCGCGCGAAGAAAAAATTATCCTAGCGAAGGGCCCAACCATACGCAATTCCGAATGCCGCCGTTGTAAGTATCGTCGTTGGTGGAACACCCGATGGGGCCACGAAGCGTGTGAGAGGTGCGCCAAATGGAGGTGGAACTGCATGCGGACCCTGCCACTGGGGCCTTCGGTGGAGCACCCTGTGGGGCCGCGAAACGTGTGAGGGGTGCGCCGAAATGGAGGTGGAACTGCATGCGGACCCTGCCATTGGCGCCCTCGGTGGAGCTCCCTATGGGGCCGCGAAACGTGTGAGGGGTGCGCCGAAATGGAGGTGGAACTGCATGCGGACCCTGCCACTTGGGCCTTAGGCGGAGCTCTCTATGGGGCCACGAAACGTGTGAGGGGTGTGCCGAAATGGAGGTGGAACTGCATGCGGACCGTGAAACTTGGGCCTTAGGCGGGGC